CCTCCCTGTACCGCCACACCCGACCTCTCAGTACAGCCTCTCCCGACCTCCCTGCAGTGCTACACCCGACCTCCCTGCACCGCCTCTACTGACCTCCCTGTACCGCCTCTATCAACCTCCCTCACCGCCTTTCCCGAACTCCCTGCACTGCTACTCCCGACCTCCCGGCACCGTCTCTCCCAAACTTCCTGAACCGCCTCTCCAGACCTCTCTTCACCACCTCTCCCGACCTCCCTGCACCACCACACCCACTCTGTAACTCTGTTGTGCACACCACCTCTCCCGAACTTTCAGCACCACCTCTCCCGACCTCCCTGTACCGCCACACCCTACCTCTCAGTACAGCCTCTCCCGACCTCCCTGCAGTGCTACACCCGACCTCCCTGCACCGCCTCTCTCGACCTCCCTGTACCACCTCTATCAACCTCCCTCACTGCCTTTCCCGAACTCCCTGCACTGCTTCTTCCGACCTCCCTGCACCGCCTCTCCCAAATTTCCTGAACAACCTCTCCAGACCTTTCTTCACCACCTCTCCCGACCTCCCTGCACCACCACACTCACTCCCTGTAACTCCGTGGTACACACCACCACTCCTGACCTCTCTCCGCTGTCTCTCTTGACCTCCCTGCACCGCTTCTCTGAATTCCCTGCACCACCACACCAAACTCTCAGTACAGCCTCACTTGACCTCTCTGCTCCATCACACTAGACCTCCCTGTACAACCTCTCTCGACCCCACTGTAAAGGCACTCCCAACCTCCCTGCACCGTCTCGTCCAACCTCCATGCACCGCCTCTCCTGACCTTCCTGCACCGCCACACTGGACCACTCAGTACAGCCTCACTTTACCTCTCTGCTCCATCTTCTTTCCCAACCTCTCTGCACGCCCCTCCGGTCCTCCCAGCACCGCTTCTCCTGACCTCCATTCACCGCCACACCTGACCTTTCAGTACCGCTCTCTTGACCTCCCTTCAATGCCACTCCCGACGTCTCTACACTGCCTCTCCCGACCTCCCTGCAGCTCCACACCCAATCTCTGTACCTTCGTGGCGCACACCGCCTTTCCCGACCTTCCTGCACCACCTCTTCCGCCCTTCCTGTGCCGCCTCTCCTGACCTCCCTACACTGCCCCACCCAACGTCTCTGCACTGCCACACCCACTCTCTGTATCTCCGTGGTGCACACTTCCTCTCCCGACCCCTCCACCGCCTCTCTCTCCATGCACCGCATCTCTCGACCTCCCTGCATCGCCACACAAGACCTCACAGCACAGCCTCTCCCAACATCCCTGCACTGCCACACAAGATCTATCAGTACAACCCCTCCTGACCACCCTGTACCACCTCTCCCGTCCTCCCTGCACCGCTACACCCGACCACTTGATACCACCTCTCTCGACCTCATTGCACGACCTCTTCCGATCTTCGTGCACTGCCACACCCGACCTATACCGCCTCTTTGACCTTCCTACACTGCCTCTCTCGACCTCTCTGCACCACCACACCCGACCTCCGTGCACGTCCTCCTCCAACCTCCCTGCACCGCTTCTCCCGCCCTCTCAGTATCGCCACACCCAACCTTCGTGTACCGCCTCTCCCGACCATTCTGCATCGCCTATCCCGATCTCCCCGCACCGCCTCTCCCGAGCTCCTTGCACCGCCTCTCCCAACCTCCCTGCGCTGCCTCTCCCATCCTCCCTGCACCGCATCTCTCGACCTCTATGCACTGCCACACCCGACCTTGGTTCACCACCTCTCCTGACCTTCTTCCACCGCCTCTTCCGACCTCTCTGCACCATCTATCTCGACCTCCCTGCACCGCCACACCCCACATCTTGGCACCGCATCTCCCGACCCCCTGTACCGCCTCTTCCGACCTCCCTGCACCACCACTCCCGATCTCCCTGCACCGCCAAACCTGCTCTCTCTGTACAGCTTCTCTTGGCCTTCCTGCTACTTTGACTTCCCTGTACCGCCACACCCAACCTCTCAGTACAGCCTCTCCTTACCTCCGTGCTCCATCACACCAGACCTCCCTGTAGCACCTCTCCTGACCTTCCTGTACCGCATCTCCCGACCTCCATGTACCGCCACACCAGAACTCCCTGAACCGCCACTCCTAACCCCCTGTACCGCCTCTCCCAACCTCCCTGCACCATCTCGTCCAACCTCCATGTACCGCCTCTCCTGACCTCCCTGCACTGCCACACTGGACCTCTCAGTACAGCCTCACTTTACCTCTGTGCTCCATCACACCAGACCTCCCTGTACAACCTCTCCCGACCCCCCTGTACCACCTCTTCCAACCTCCCTGCACCGTCTCGCCCAAGCTCCATGCACTGCCTATCCTGACCTCTCTGCATCGCCACACCCGAACTCTGAGTACCGCCTGTCCCGAACTTTCGCACCATCTATCCCGACCTCCCTGCACTGCCTCTCCCGACCATTCTGCATCGCCTATCCCGACCTCCCTGCACCGCCTCTCCCGACTTTCCTGCACCGCCTCTCCCAACCTCCCTGCACTGCCACACCCGACGTCTCGGTACTGCCTCTGTCGATGTACTGCTTCTCCCAACCGGTTTGCACCATCTCTCTCGACCTCCCTGCACCGCTGCACCCCCACATCTTGGCACTGCATCTCCCACCCCATGTACCACATCTCCCTACCTCCCTGCACTGCCACACCCGACCACTTGATATCGCCTCTCTCGACCTCATTGCACCACCTCTTCTGATCTTCCTGCACCGCCACACCCGACCTTTTTATACCGTCTCTTCCGTCCTTCCTGCACTGCCTCTCTCGACCTCTCTGCACCGCCACACCCGACCTCCATGTACGTCCTCTTCCAACCTCCCTGCACCGCTTCTCCTGACCTCTCTGCATCGCCACACCCGACCTTCGTGTACCGCCTCTCCCGACCATTCTGCATCGCCTATCCCGACCTCCCAGCACCTCCTCTCCTGACCTTCCTGCACCGCCTCTCCCAACCTCCCTGCGCTGCCTCTTCCGTCCTCCTTGCACCACCTTCCTCTACCTCTCTGCACGGCCACACCCGACCTTCGTTCACCACCTCTCCCGACCTTCCTCCACTGCCTCTTCCGACTTCCCTGCACCACCACTCCCAATCTCCCTGCACCACCACACCCGACCTCCCAGCACCTCCTCTCCCGACCTTCCTGTACCGCCTCTCTCAACCTCCCTGCACCGTCTTGTCCAACCTCCATGCACTGCCTCTCCCGACCTCCCTGCCCCGCCACACTGGACCTCTCAGTACAGCCTCACTTTACCTCTCTGCTCCATCACACCAGACCTCCCTATACAACCTCTCCCGACCCCCCTGTACCACTACTGCCAACCTCCCTGCATTGTCTCGCCCAAACTCCATGCACCGCCTCTCCCGACATCTCTGCATT